AGCCCACGGCCATTGCAACAATTCGTCCGTCTACGGAGAAAACAAATCGCACCCCTTTTATACGCGATAAGCTGGTCGATGCGAGAATCAGCGACCTGGTCGGCGCTGGAGTCGGCGAGCCGCTCAGCGCACGAGTCGGCAATCTGGTCGGCTCGGGAGTCGGCGAGCCACTCGGCGCGGGAGTCGGTGAGCTGGTCGGTGCGCGAGTCAGTGATCTGGTCGGCGCGGCTGTCAGCGAGCTGGTCGGCGAGGAACTGGGCGAGGTCGCATGGCGCGGGAGGTGGAGGGAGAAGTGGAGGTGTAAATGGAAGGTCGAACGCCAGATGCTGGAAGTCGGAATGCAATGCGGGCGAGGGCACGAGGAGGTCGATAGGGGAAAGGCGACGCGAGGCGAGGCGAGCGCGCGGTTCCGCCGGGAGCGGCGCCCTTTAGGGCCTGTGCGGGGGGACCAGAGCCCTCAGTGCTTGTAGTCCTTTGTTGTCGAGGTCGGGGTGCTGAGTGATGAGCTGGTGTAACCTGGAGGTCAACTGGTGCAGGTGGAAGTGGAGTCGGAAGCCGGATGCTGGAGTCGGAGTGCCGGGCGGTCGGCAGGTGGAGGTGGAGGTGGAAAGTCAGATGCTGGAGGGCGGAGGTCGGAGTGCTGAGCTGCTGGACGCTGGAGGTCGACGGGTGGAGGCGGAAGTGAACATTGGAATGCTGGATGCTGGAGATGGGCGTGGTGAGTTGGAAGAAGCTGGAGGTCGATAGGTGGAAGTGGAAGTGGAACATCGGATGTCGCATGCTGGAAGTCGGGATGTGGACGTGAGTTGGGGGTCGGAAGGTGGAGGTCAAAAGCTTGGAATTGGTGCGCATGTCCAGCTCGCTCTGGTTCGATGTCACGTCCTGGCGGACGGGCCGGGTGTCTCAGTTCGTGTCGTTTGTGCTTTGCTGGTCGACGGCGTATCGTACTAACTTGTCCTCTAAGCCCTGCCAAGTGTAGCTATCGCGCGCCAGTCCAAACCACCATTCGCAGCCAATATTATCAGGGAGTCTCTTGTTATGATCAATCATATCCGTGGTGCCCAAAAATTTAACGAACTCGTGGTCCCAACGCTTCTGCTGTCCGCCTTGTTTTCGTTGTGCGGGTCTTCTGTCGTGCGGAAGCTGGATGCTGGGGGTCAGAATGCAGAGCTGGTGGAGGCTCGAGGCCGATAAGTCGAGGCGGGGTGGAAAGTCGGATGCTGGTTGCGGGCCGTCGGAGTGTTGAGGTGGTGGAAGCTGAAGGTCGGTAGGTGGATGAAGGAGTTGAAAGGACAAGACGGATGTTAGAGCCTTGAGGTCGGAATGCTGTGCTGGTGGGGGCTCGAGGTCGCTGGGTGGAAGTGGAAGTGGAATGTCGGAAGCAGGATACGGGGGTCAGAATGCTGAATTGGCGGAGGTGGGAGGTCGATAGGTGCAGGTGGAGGTGGGAAGTCGGATGCTCGCAACTGGAGGTCGGAGTGCTGAGCACGTAGAGGCTGGAGGTCGATAGGTGGAGGTGGAGGTGTAAGTGGAGGTGGAAGTCGAATGCTGAGCGCTTGCGGTCGGAATGCTGGGCTGGGGGGGTATTAGCTCGCGAGCTACTCGTCGAACTCGCGGTGGCCCTCGTTCACGTCGCCGCAGCGGGACGTCGTGGTCATGCCTCGCAACGAGGTCCTGCCACACATCTCGGAAATAGTCCTGTGGCCGGGGGCCAGGGTCGGAGTCGGAACTGAAGACGGAGCCAGGACTGGAGTCCGCGCTAGATTTGGACAAAGGATGACAATGTTTGGGCCCCGCGTCGGAGCGAAGTGCACGTTGATCACGTGGACCACAAAACGATAAAGTCGAAGTCGGTCCCGTAGGGAACTACTCCGCAAAGGTTGGTGGTGTCGTCAATGAAGCCCACGACGAAGCCGAACGTGTTGATAGTCAAGATGGTTCTGCTGGTCGTGGTTTCAGACGGGCAAACAACAGTAGAGAACCGATCGCCGTGAACCCAATCATGGGTGCGTCGCCGTTTTATGCCTGCTGTGACTGGCATGACACAGCAGCATCGTCGTAGCTCCCCGTCGTCCCTGGCGGCCTCGTGGAGAAACTGGCTCATGAACCGTTCGTGGCACTCACGATCCTCACTTCCATGATGCCAAACGTGATTGACCAGCCGGTAGATTACACACACCGAGACCGCAGTCAATCGCAATGTCCTGTTTGTGAGAGAATCTGCAAGAATCCACCGTTTCATACTGAATGGAAGACTTCGGGTCCCCAATCGGTTAACCATCCACGTTTGGAGCACTGGGCAACGCAGATAATGCTCCAGAGTCTGCGGCCGTCTAGCAGCCTAGCAATCATGTGCGCTGCCGGCCGCGCAGTTCCCGAATGCGGCGGTCAGTGGTCCAGCGGTTGAATATTGTACTCAGCACCGCCGCCGGGATCCGAGGGGGCAAAAGTCTTAAGCTTGCAGAGGTTCGCGTGCATGCGACGGGGTATGATGCCTGGAGGGCCAGCTAATCGCCACCACACAGATCGATGCCGGAGTCAGAACTTTGGATTGCACCGACTTTGTGCCAGGAACTGTTTCCCAAACCATCCTTGCGTACGTCGCTGAAATTTCCGCCGCTATGTCGCCGTCAATGTGCCCGGTCGTCCAACAAACTGTTGCTGGGCCAAACCATTGTCGATGCCCGCCATCGCAGTCGTCACAACAACCGTAAGAATGTGCTGCTCGTACCGTTGACAGAGCCTCACGGCGTGCACCGTATGATCGGTGTTCCCATTGGGGTCCACAAGATATGCCTGAAATCGCCTCCACGGAATGCCTCCGTCATCGCGCGACTCCCAAGCATGCATTTGCAGCATCCCGGCCACGCACATCTCGCGAAATTGCCGTTGTTGTGGTGATAAGCCCAGCTCCGAACCGTGTTGGAGGTCCGCGGGACTGTACCAAAATCCCAAACCCGGGGTGATCCGGCAAACAGTTACCTCCTCCAACCGTAAGAGTTCGGGATGCAGGCGTTCCAATTGGGCCCTAGATAATAATATTGGAAGCACGTTAATGTTCTACGTTTCCAGTGCTGTGTGTAAGCCCAGTCGCCCCCAATCCCATTCCGCCAGTCTGGACTCGAACATGGTCGCCGCACCCCTCCAAGACTGCGCGCCTCTACCTGGCCCCACGCGTATGCCAAGATAGCGGCCCGAGGCGTCCAACAGAACTGGCGGCGTTCGTGGGTCTGCCTCTATGCGTTGACGGACCGCTCTCCAACCTCTCATCCCACAACGAGATCGCCAGAGTCTTGGATACGTTGAGAGATAGACAAAGCACCGTTTCGAAGACGCGGCAAATCTTAAACCTTCTACCATGATCCTGGTTCCACCACTGGACAATCATGGCGGTGTCGCCCGCGAGCGCTCCTGTTGTCGCGCTGGGAACTCTGACCCCGAGTAAGCTGTCGGAGGCGAAAGCAAAGAGCAACGGGGAGAGCGGGCATCCCTGCTGTATGCCAGTTTACCACAGCTGTTGTGGTAAAGATCATGCAGAACGTTCGCTGCTAAGGCCGGAAGAAGCCACGCCGCCGCGGCAGTCGCCATCAAGTATCTGCGGGATATATATATATATATATATAAAAATATATATATTCGGGAAGGCCCGCTGCGAAGTCGCACAGGATGACCGCGGAATCCTCATGCAGAAGTAACGCCGTCATTGCCGAATGCTCGATGTGTATAGTGTTCTTCAGCATGGAACGGCCCTGGAGAAAGCCCCGTTGCTCCGGCGTGACCCGGGGGGCGAGAAGCGGCTCCCAGCGCAGCCTGCTCGCGTTGGCACTGATGCGATTGCCGGTGTGGGTGATGCTCACAGATCTATGTGCCCTTGGGCACGTAGATCTGAATATCGGGAGCGGCCAAGAGTTAACGGACGAAGGACGATATAACATAAACTTTTTCGCCGTCGGGGACACCTGCCCCTGGGCGGCTGGAAAGTTTGTACCCTTACGGTGGCACCGTAGGGGTATAAACTTTCCAGCCGCCCAGGGGCAGGCGCCCCCGACGGCGAAAAAGTTTATCTTATACCGTTCTTCGCCCGTTAAAAGAGGGGGGTGTCCAACAGGGGGGGTGCACATCATGACCGGCGGCACGTGCGCGGCCCAGGGGGGGGGGGGCTGGGGACGTAATCAAATAAGAAGATGCGCCATGAAATCTGGGGAAATATCATGGCCCACGCCATGATATCCAACCCCCCCTAGTCATCACCCCCCTCTTTGCCACCCCCGAGAATACCGTCCTGCTCGCCGCGAACCGGTTTCTTCGGCAAACAACACGACAACGAAGCGTTGAATATGTCATGCTCGGGCACTCCTGGCGTGAGGCCCGACTCCCAGAAACGCCCGGCCTCCCACAGCAGCTGCGTTGCCAAAAGCCTCGTAAGGGATGCCGTCGGGGCCCGGGCGCGAGCTCCCAGCAATCTTCAAAGCCTTCTGGATGTCATTCCTGCGGACGCGCCACCCCCATCGCTGTGCGGCAGGAAGCCGTAGACCGAGCTGACTCGCGAACGCCAACCGTGTATTGAGCGTAAGTGGAGGAAGGAGGAGGGAGGAAGAGGGAGAAAAGGGGGAGTGGGATAAAAGAGGCGGAGGAAAGAGGAGGGACGGGAGGAGCGCACGGAGGGGTGAGTGAGAACCGTCGCGATGCAGATCCGAACGAGGCTCCGAGCGCCCCCGTGCGAGCTCGAGCTCGGCTCTGCAGAGAACCTCCGGCCGTCGGCCCGCATGGACTCAGGCTAGATGCGCGGCTGGACTGAGATCCGAGACCTGGGGCACTCCTGCCAAAGGCTCTAAAGAAGGACGCCTAACTTCGCGTTTCGCGCTTCGCGCTGCGCGAATAACTTCGCGCTCTAGCGCCGCCACCCAGGGGAGAAGAGGAGGATGAGGAGCATGAGGAGCCGAACCGCGACGCGCGAAGCGCGAATAAATTCGCGTTTTCGAGGGCGCCCCTGCTGCGGCCTGAGCTCGTCGATGGTGGTCATGAGCGCCAGCTGGCTCTCGTGCAGCCTGCGCGTGCTGCTGTCGGCGGAGGGTCTCCGCGGCACCTCGGCGGCGCCCTGTGGCGGCGCCGCAGCGGTCGACGCGGCCCGCCGGAGGGACTCGACCTCGGGGGCGGGGAGGGGACCGAAAGCACTCTGGGAGCCAGCTTGTCCTCCTCTGCCTCCTCTACACATTTCCAACCTCTACCTCCTCCTCCTCCTCCTCCTCCTCCTCCTCCTCCTCCTCCTCCTCCTCCTCCTCCTCCTCCTCCTCCTCCTCCTCCTCATCCTCATCCTCCTCATCCCCCTCCTCTTCCTGCTCCTTCCTTCCCCTTATCATCCTCGTCCTTCCTTCCCCTCCCGAAGAAAAAAACACCCTTCTTCTCCTCAACCTCCACCACCGTCACCACGCTCACCAGCAACAACAACAACAACAACATCAACAACAACCACCACCACAAGAATATTCAAACATCGTAGCACGAATAGTGGGGATGAGACTGATGATGACGATGGTAATGACGATGATAATGAGTATGACAGCGAGTTTGATAATAGTGGTGATGGAAATACAACAACACAAGAATGAACATCAATTCTATATCAAAACCACACATCTACAATTGCCAACTATAATACTCAGCATACACGTAATAAGCATATTATTCGCAAGGATCGTAGTAATCAGCATCACCCTAATCAAAATTAAACGAACGACCATAAGGACAACAGTAGTACGAATATGAATGATAGTCATACCGATACAGAAAAGGACGATACTAATACTATTTCAAACGAACAGGAAAACGAGCAACAGCAGCAACAACAACAACAACAGCAGCACCACCACTACCATCAGCAGCATAAGCAGCATCATAATCACCATCAAAGGCAAAATCATACTCACCATCAACATCGCCATAATCATCAGAAAAGTCGCCGTCATCATCCACATCACCATCGTCACCACCATCGTGATCACCAGATTTCTCAGCAGCATCAAAATTGATATCAGCATCAACACCAGCATCGCCATACTGATGTTAATGATCCTCGTCGCCATCATCGCCATCGTCCTCAGCACGGGCATCAACAACGAGATCATCATCCTAATCGACATTCGCCGCCATCAACAACGACATCCTCATCATCGCCGACATCGTCATCGTCGCCGCCAGCGGCGCCATCATTATCCGAATCGGCATTCGCAGCATCAACATCCTCATCATCATCAGCACCACATCATCATCTGAATCATCACCATCACAACCAGCATCGCCGTAGTCATCACCACCTTTGCCTCATCACTATCCTCACAACCATCACCATCATCAACACCACGATCAGCATCGTCATTTGCACCACCGCCATACATCAACCGCGTCATCATTATCACCGCCAGCATCAACATCACAATCAGCAGCACCACCCGCATCGTCATCATCACCACCACCAGTCGCGACCATCGTCAGCACCACTCGCATCATCATAACAAGCAGCAACATCTTAATATTCACCAGCATCTGCATGTTCATCTTCATCCTGATCAGCGTCGTCGGGATCGTCATTATCAATCGCAACACCATTCCCCGAACAGTGTTAGCTCCCGCGCCCTCCCCTCCTCTTTTTCCATTGGCCCCGCACCAAAGCTCCGAGGCCGCTCCCAGCCCCCACACAGCGGCGGGCGCAGCGGCGCCGCAGACACAAGGACAGAAACAAAATAACAGGGGCGGGTGGGCGGGACAAGCGGCCCCACCCTTGACCCAACAACGGCACCATGCAGGCGGCGAGCGAGCGCGGCTGAGACGCGAGGAGGAGAAGCGGGGAGCCGAATGTTGCTTCGCGCTCGTGAATCCGAATTGGCTCCCGCTACCTCCCCTCCTCCTTGTCACTGGCCCAGCAGCAAACTTCCCAGCCCGCTCCTGGGCCCAACGCCAACAAAGGAAAAAGGGGAGCTGCACAGGAGCGGGGCACTGCGGTGCCTAATTCTCAAAGCTGGAATCGTCGACGACGCCCTGCCCCAGCAGGCTGGCGGCCACCTTGTCGCCCGACACGTACGGCCGGGTTGAGGCCACCGACCACCACCCACCCCGCGCGAGCATGGCTTCCACGGCCGATGCGGCAAAAACTTCCGCGGCCGTGCCCCGCCGGACGTCGTGGCCAAACCACTGTGCGGGATTAGCGACGCCGACCGCGCAAAATGGCAACGGAGTTCGGCTGTCCTGGTCTCAGTGGTGTATCCGCCGAGCGGGCGACCCCCGAACCTGAGCTCATCCCAGACGGGTAACCTCGTGTGCGGGCAGATGCCTTCACCAATCCCGAAGGTACCAAAAACGAAAACAATGCACAACCGGTCGCACCTTTGACCAACAAACGGCAGCAGGAAGGCAGCGTGCGCGCGCGGCAGAAACACTGGGAAGCGGGGAGTCGAACTTTGCTTCACCTTCGTGACTATGAGTTTGCACCTGGGGGTTTTATCCCACCAGCCCTTTGGGCGTGAGTGGTTTAGAGAGCCCGCTCTGTCCTCAACCCCCCTTCTTCCCCTTCGGGGAGGGGTTTACCCCTCCCCCTACCCCCTCCCCCTGGGCCTGGACAGGGAGCCCCGAGTGTTCTCAGGGGGGTCTTTTTCGACTCCTGGGAGGGCCAAAAAACGACGACCCTCACGAGGATTCTGGCCCCGACGGCGGGGCCGAGTTTGGCCCCTCTGCTCTTCTTTGAAGCGAAAATCATTGATTTTACTACGGTTTGGGCACCATTTTGGCCTCCTGAGGGGGCCGCGCTTCTCTTCCCTCATAGCAAAATCACTGATTTTACGAAGGTTTTGGGTTCATTTTGTCCTTCTCAGGGGGCAGCTCTCCTTTGCGCTTCTGCGGAGGTCGCAAGAGGCCCCAAGATGGCCCCAAGAGGCCCCCAGGAGGCTCCCAAGAGGCCTCCAAGAGGCCCCCCAGAAGCCCCCAAGCGGCCCCAAGAGGCCCCCAAGAGGCCCCCAAGAGGCCCCCAAGAGGCCCCACGAGGCCCCAAGAGGCCCCCAAGAGGCCCCCAAGAGGCCCCCAAGAGGCCCACGAGGCCCCCGCCCCAAGAGGCCCCCAAGAGGCCCCCAAGAGGCCCCCAAGAGGCCCCACGAGGCTCCAAGAGGCCCCCAAGAGGCCCCACGAGGAGCCCGAACGACTCACACCAGGACGAGGGGCCCGAACGACTCACACCACGAAGAGCCCGAACGACTCACACCACAAGGAGGGGCCCGAACGACTCACACCACGAGGAGCCCGAAGGACTCACACCACGACGCGGGCCCCGAACGACGCACACCACGAGGAGCCCGAACGAGTCACACCAGGAGGAGGGGCCCGAACGACTCACACCAGGACGACGGGCAACTCACACCACGAGAAGCCCGAACGACTCACACCAGGACGAAGAGCCCGAACGACTCACACGACGAAGAGCCCGAACGACTCACACCAGGAAGAAGGGCCCGAACGACTCAGACCAGGACGAGAAACCCCAAACGACTAAAACCACGAGGAGCGCTTTCTCTCCCTCCTCCTTCGCCTCGTCCTTCTCCCGCTCCCCCCACAAGGAGGATGTACAAGGAGGCGGGAGGAAGGAGGAACAGGGGAGATATGCGGGGCCCAGCGGACACACGCCTGAAAAACACGACTGTAGGCATGCTTCGCGAGAGTTGCTGCTGTGAGATGGGCTGGTG